CATTCTCCAACCCACTCTATCCTGGGCCTTCTTTTCTAGTTCCATCCAATTCTTGTTCATTTTTCTCATGTCTATCACCATTTCCCGGCGTAATGTGTCCTTTGGTCTTCCTCTTTTCCTTTGACCTTCAGGATTCCATGTGAGGGCTTGTCTTGTGACATAGTTGGGTGCTTTCCTCAATGTGTGTCCTATCCACTTCCAGCGCTTCTTCCTGATTTCTTCCTCCACTGGGATCTGGTTTGTTCTCTCCCACAGTAAATTGTTGCTAATAGAGTCCGGCCAATGGATCTGAAGTTTTTTGCGTAGACAATTGTTAATAAACACCTGTATTTTCTGGATGATGGCTTTTGTAGTTCTCCAGGTTTCTGCCCCATACAGTAGAACTGTCTTGACATTTGTATTGAAAATCCTGACCTTGGTGTTGGTTGACAGTTGCTTTGAGTTCCAGATGTTCCTGATTATCTGTACTAGCTAGATTATTTGTACTAGCTCTAGAAATCTGATTCAATTGAAATACGATTATTCAATATATATATATATATATATATATATATATATATATATATATATATATATATATATATATATATATATATATATATAAGGTCTGTATGTGAGTCTTCGATGTTCAGTAGATTCGGTGGTGCTAGTCGATTCAACAACTTTTCAATAGCTTTAACCATCAGTTCTGTCCCTATTGATCCTCATTAACTGGTTTCCTCTCTCCTAAATCTATCGAACCATTTAACCACAGGATTGTTAGACTCGTGAAACTGAAGTTCACAAAACAGCAATTTGTCTAAAAACCTTTTCTTCATTGAAGAACAAACATAAATTAGCTACAAACCTCACGTCATAAAGTATTGGTGGCGCTTAGCTCATCTGTAAATCTGAAATAAAAAAAAGACTTCCTGCCCTAATAACACAAAGAATAATTGTGACATTTGATAGTGTGAGTGATAGCTGATACCTGTGTCAAGTTTTGATAATAGCTTGCAAACTAGCAAAAAGAAAACCAAAGGCAAACACATAAGGAACCTGTTGTGTTTAAACAGAGACTCAAATATCTGACAAAATTGAGAATACTTAATACAGGGGTTGATAGGAATCATTTACAGTAATAAATACAGTAAATGTTATAAGTATGTGTAAATATTTTAGAGTAATACATGACAAACTACGTTACAACATGCGCGTAGACACCGATAGAAATACAACTATTTGTTGAATATTAGTAATTAGTTTATGACAATACACACAGAAAAATGAGTTGATAAGTGAAAAACAGGGACAGAGAAATTGAAAAATCTTAACACTTTGTTATGACTGGTCGATCTAATTTAAGATGAATCCTTGCAAGCCTCTTCATCGTACGACATGGTTCTCCCGTATTCCATTCTCTTACAGTTTTTTATGCCTCTGTAGCTAGGTCTTCTACGCGTTTACGCTTATCATCTTCAATATTTTGTCGACATCATCACTGGACCGAAATGGGATACGGATTAAGGGGTGGCAAAAAACTGTTAGGAGAAGGTTACTGTGTCCTCACGTCAAGCTAAGAGGCCGGAAGAGTTGCAGAAAATGAAAGCTCTCATGTGCTGTGTAGCGACAACAATTGCAAGTAAGAGTTCATTACTATGTAGTCCGGAGAAACAGGCTTAAAGTCCTGGGAGTAACGATTAACACGGATGGTTATGTCTATAGACAAGAAATCACGTATCATCCAGGTTATGTCGGAGTTATTGCCCATCACAAGAACAGATTTCGAAACCTCTCAGGGACAATACGGAAAGAATAACTATGACGTAGGGCGTAAAGCTACAGATTCAGGTCATGGAAGCGTATCCTGGTGTCTCTGAAATGAGGAGCAGTTGATATACGAGTGTAAATTTTACATTTCTCACGAATAGATATCTCAGGTCTCATCAACTGTTTGCTCAAGTTTATATCGCCATGTCTTTTTATTTGTAGTCCCAGTCTTCCTAAGTTATATAAAACAATTAAATCTATGCTTCCAAGTGGTCCAAGTGGTTCTGAGAGGCGTTCGCTAAACAGGAGCTCATATCTAGTAGCAGTAGATCACCAATGCCTCTAGAATGAAACCTATACATATTTGACAATAAAAAAGGGAATATTGGTAATTTGTAGTAAGATTTTCTCATGAGTCTTTAAGAATTTATTAAGCTTTCACTTGAAAGGTACCTGAAAGTCAGGAGGACTACCTCGCCGGTTAGTTAAAGTTTGTTTTAATGTTCTTTTAGTAGTTGTATTGTGTTGGCTTGTTGACGACCAAGTCTCGATTGACTGAACTCAAGGTTGGACTCTGCAGCAACTGACCATTGTTATCCGGGTGTCGGCTGGTAATATTTGTAGATTAATTTAGTTCTCCTGATCATAATTTTGATACTACTTTGTAGGGAGTATTACACTGCGTGCAGCAGAGTATTTTTGATCGATAATCAGTGGGTCATGTTATATATGTTCACAAACCGGAATGGGAGGTCAAAGGTCATGCTTCCTTAACGACAATTTCACAGGCGACACTGGTAATTGAGAAAATTATGAGAATTAATGAAAAGTGCAGATAGTAGCAAAAACTAATTACGAAATAAGTCTAGTTTAACTGTCCTCACATATCTCCCCCCCAGAATATCTGGAGGTAACACTGGTATGCAAAACAAATGAGGAAGAATACATGCATTCAAAAGCGAAAACTGACTAATAGCATATTAATTTGAAAAAAATGTTTGCTTTCAAATATAATACTGAAGAGGTGTGTCGTTAAATTACCAATGGGTAGCGAAGAAAAATGTGTACTATGTCTGATAGAGTAAATTGTCGGGGGGCGAGTGAGTGCATAATGAAGCAGTGTCATACTTGTGTAAAGAGGAATACATAGACATCGTAAAGATGCGGACAGGGAAGGAAAGTGTTAGCGCATAATTATGAGCTAATTAGTAAGCATGCAAAAGCAAAAAAGCATTTACGTTGTGACGGCATGAATGATAAAATAATACGCTCATATGAATGATTCAAAATACCGTGAAAAAAGCAGTAAATCGTTTATCGATTATGGATATGGCAACGAAGTATGTTGCAAAAATAAATACGGCAGAACACAACAGATATTGATCTGTGGTGTTGGTATAATATAAGGATAAGGAATAATGAAATATAAACCCGTTCTACTAGGCCTCAAGGGAGCATATAACGTCAATTAGTAATTAGCTGATTAGAATTTACATATATAGAGTTACTAGTTGTAGGACAAGACTAATCGATCCGTAAACGTGCGACCGAATTGCTGGGTGTCATTACCAAGGTTTGATTTGATAATTTCGAATAAATTGAGCATTGGGTTGACTGTTATAAATAAAAATAATATATTTGTAATATCCCAATGAGTAGAAAATTGAATTTTGTTACTGTACTGTAATTGATAATAATCATAAAATGAGAAGTCAGTGCGCGTTATCGTTCACGTTATGAATCAGAAGGCTGTCTGCTTGAATCACGTCGGGCTTTCCACTTTTAACAGCCCAGTATCTAACTAAAGTTAGATTATCATCAAAATACATGTGCCCCTTGTCATTGTCATCCAAGAATTGTAAGTTTAATGTATAAGTAATTCACTTTATCTCAGGCTATGGAATGTCCTAGTGGGGTCCCCCAGGGCCCAGTATTAGGGCCTCTTCTCTTCTTGATCTACATAAATGATCTTCCTCAACAGGTAACGTCAGATTTATTACATTTTGCCGACGACGTGAAACTTTGGAGAGAGATACGCAACCAAGACGATATACAGGCACTTCAGGAGGATCTGACTCGACTTCAAAGTTGGGCAGACGATAACGGACTTACCTTTAACACTTCTAAGTGTAAAGTAGTCCATCTGCGACATGTCGCAAACTACAGTTACAACTTAGGAAACTCCTCTCTAGTAGTATCCCAAGTCGAAAAAGATTTAGGAGTCCTGGTGCCCCATGACTTAAAGTCTTACGCTAACTGTGACAAAAATGCCTTCCGAGCAAACCTTGCACTGGTAACGTTGAGGCGCATTTTTAGCGAGTTTGACGGAAGAACTTTTCACACAATCTTCAATAGTTTCATCCGTCCCCATTTAGAGTATGGAAACATAGTACTCCCCCCTCACTCCAAAAGGACAAGGTCACTTTGGAGCGTATCCAACGGCGAGCCAAGAAATCAGTTCGGGGACTCAAATCTAAGCCTTACGAAGAACGCCTCCGTTCACTAGACCTTTACCCACTAGAATATAGGCGTCTTAGAGGTGATTTATTAATGGATTATAGTATTCTTAACACTTCTGGACATCCTCTTAAACACCTACTTAAGCTTAGTTCGAATAATAACCTAAGGGGTAACACCCAGAAACTGGAAACACAACATAGCAAGACGGAATGCAGACACAACTTCTACTCCTTAAGAGTTGTCAAAAGCTGGAACTCGCTGCCGGCCGAGCTAGTCCAAGCGACTTCTCAGGAGTCCTTCAAGAGGCAACTTGACCTATTCTTAAGGACCAAGGACAGCATCACACTATGATTTACCAATTTCTTTTCCTCTTTTATTGTTAACATACCTAGGTTTCTGCCTGGAGGATTTGGTGATCCCCTGTTACTAGACACGGAAGCCTGTTAAGCGAAAGCTTCTTCTATTCCGTCCACAACCATTTGAACCATTTGAACCAAACATTGGGATTCTTCATTTAGTTGCGTTGGGTGCAGAGAGCATATCGAAATCCCGGTTCTCTGTTTTAACTCTGCTTCAAAGAATAGCAGCATCTGTGAGATTATATTTAACCGTTCATATGACAAACGGAAACTGTGAAGTCGAAACAGCATGATAATAGGAGTAGGTATGGATGGTTCCCATACGCTCACCGATCAATGCTTGTCAGACAATCAGAACAAGGATCCAAAGCTCCATATTTAAGAGTTCATTTCTTGCAATCGTTCAATATCGTGCATTTGAATATCGCAGCCGCACAGTTTCGAACTTGAACTTTTGGCGCGCTGCGAGCCGTCCACAATAACTTCTTTGGATGTTTTGTTTGTGTTTACCGATGTTTGACAGACATCTGCATGGAATTGGATATTATCAATGACAAGTTCATATCCTGGAGTTAAACTCTCCTCCATTAATGGACACCTGATTTGTGGACTGTGTGGTGGTTATCTAATAGATGCGACTGTTCTTACAGAATGTATCCATGTCTTCTGCAGAAGCTGCATCCTCAAGTATTTATTGGAGCACAAAATTTGTCCATTATGTCAAAGTTTGGTACAAGAAACCAGACCTGGCCAAGCCCTCCGTCCCGATGTCGCTTTACAGCGGATTGTATATAAATTGGTCCCGGGTTTACTGAAGACTGAGATGAAAAGAATCTCGGAATTCAAAGAATTGTATTTAAAAGAGTTGTCCTGCACAGACAAAATGGTTTGCACCAAGGAAATTCTCCCCAAAAACTGCATTCCGAGTAGCACTGCTAGTTATAGCATTTCAGGTAAGAAAACTAATCATACGTCATTCACTTTTTGTTGCTTCCATTTTCTGGCTTTATCTTGTTACTACCGAGTCCCCAAATAGCGATGGAGTCATTTTACATTCGTCTTGTAAGTGACCGTATGTGTCTTTTTGTTTGTTCACAAGTCATGGAAACAAAAACCCTCTGTAATATTAATTATCACTCATCCACCACACGCCGCTGGAGAGTTGACCTACAGTATAAACGTGGCGATTATTGTGTTACATTAAATTGCCATGAAGCGGTCATTTGTCGGGTGACTTCAAGGATTCAAGTACGATCTAAATTGTTACATCTGTTTTCTTCTGTTGGATACATTTGGTAATATCACAAGTCCAGGAGTCATTTTAACTAGTCATTCACGTTAGAATCCGGGAGGTCCATACTTGATAGATGCGAGCACTACTCGTCTAACAGTCCTTTTCACTGTCGCTACTAATGTGATGTAGCCAAGTTTGCTTATTGTGACAACCTAACTATCTAGTAACGGCTGACACTTTAGTTCTTTAAGATCCTGCTAATTTAGACGATTTGATCGGTGTTCCATATGACTAAGGTCAACAAACAAGGCTTGAGAACAACTTCGTGTTTCTGACTCAGGGTGTGGTGGCAGTAAGTTTTCTCTGACAACCAACATCTGCGACGACGCTGCATTCTCACAGAGGAGAAGAGGTTTAGTAAGGACCATCATTAAATATAGTATATTTTGCCTCACGCGGTAGATTTTTTTGTAGACAGTAAGGTCTGAGAGGTATCCATCCAACATCAAAAATTGCAAAAAACCCATATGACTGGTCTCAGGCAGTTACCCTTTAAATTCGTAGGTCCTTTAAGAAGAAGTATTGTTACATGGTGTGGGAATTCAGGAAGTGACGATTGCTCACATCATAGGTAGCATTTGGTCTCAGTTACTCATATGTTAAATGTATGGAAACTATCAAAAATGATGCGTAGAACTCGGTACTGTAATATTACGTTTGTGGCAAATATTGGACGATCTTTTTTTTCTTTGCTAGGCTGCACCGTTATCAAATTAAAGTTTGAAAAATATTTTAGTTGCTTGTTAATCATCTGTATTCATCGATGGGCATACCGTAAATTAAGATCTTCAAGAGAATCCTAATTGCGAAATACTAAATTTACTCAATTGAGAAGGCATGATCATATTTTATTGTCAGGTGTGAAATATAGACGTTTTTAAGCAAACCTCTTAATCAGATTAAAATGGTTATTTGTAGTAGGTGCATCCTATTAATTGTTGAACAGAGATCCCATAACACTACAGGGTTACCAAAGGCTTCTTGTACTTCTTCGACCTTTGGTTGTATTTAAGATTTCTACGACCATCCATTCTATTATTTCCGTCTGGCAACCGGGCGTATGAAAATTATATAGTAAATACCTTTAGTCTAAGAGAGATTTCTTTTCTACGATTTCATTTACAGAACATGTACAGTCGTATTTCACAGTTCACTTTGTTTACTAAAAGCAAGTCTAGTAGATAGAATGGTGCTGAATTATCAGAGAGCTTGTAGCTATATCTTGTCATGAACTGTTCACGAAAATCAGGTATTGAGGGGAAGTTGTATAACAGTCAATTAGTGAAAAATGTTAAACTGAAGACAATCGTCTACTTCTTAGCTGTTAAGAACAGAATAATTAAAAATTGTAATAACGATTATAATTAATAGTTATGAAAATGATTAGAAAGGAAGAGAAAAATGATACATAAGGAAAGATAGAAAGGAAGGTTAAGACCATGAAAAGATAAGGGGCTGGACATACTGCTTTTGTACACAAAGGTTAGACTTCAACTGGTGGACAGCTATAGCCTCCACTGTGAATAAGTTTTTAACTTGCATTCATCTCAAGTCGACTCTCAATTGTATGAATGATTTTGAAGGAAGCATCATTTCTTGGTTTCTAGTAAGCTTATTAATTATTTATTTGAACACGTGAATATTGGTACAAGAGAGTACCAATATATATGCGCCACACAAAACAATGAGAATTCCAAGAGAAATAGAAAAAAAGCTAAGGGGCGCAAAAGAAAAAGAGAACAATAACGGAGAGATTGGTGTAAGGTAGTGTGGTAGTAACGAGGGAACGGAAAGGTACAATCAGAAGAAATCTTTCAGGTAAGGGAGACACAACTACTTTTTATGAAGAAAGTAAAAGAAGGTTACAGCAGGATCGTCACTGGCTTCTATTCTGAGCCATATCCGATAACGTCTCTAGCCACTGTGTTGCACCATCTCTCGGATCCCAACCAGGGAGCCGTGAAGGACCAACACAAGCCAGTCCTTTGCAGCTTCCTTTCATACCAGGACACCATGTCATGCACTAACCACCTCTCCGCTTTTTCCAACCGGTCCCAGAGTCGGCAAATAATGCACGACGTGGAATTCTCTGGGACGACATTCGGAGAACATGTCCAAGCCACCGAAGTCGGTGTTTCAAGATGGTGACACCAATTGCATTATCGTCTCTGTGCCCGAACACACGATGCCGAACCTCTGCATTACTAACATGGTGTTGCCACTGAATGTCAGCAATCCTTCGTAGACAGCGATGATCGAACACAGAGAGTCGTCTAACGTCCTCAACTCGGAGAGACCAGGTTTCACAAGCATAGAGCAAAACTGCTCTACATACAATTTTCAACCGGACAGTGACTCAAGAACGTTTAGATACAGTCGAATTTCCACCAAAGACGAGCCGCTGTATAAGTATAAAAGAGGGTGAATAATGTGGAAAATAATAATAATAATAATAATAATAATAATAATAATAATAATAATAATAATAACGACAATAATAGTAATAATAATAGTATTAGTAATGACAATAATTTGAATCAATTGATTGTTTTTCGAAGCGAGAAAAGTAATTTCCATAGACATAAAAAGTTCATCATTTGTGTGTGGGCTGTGATACTGCCCGGGTGCCCAAACCGAAGCAGGTGGTTATCTTAGGGCGCCACACCCCGAGCCTTTGACCTAAAGGTCTAACCCACAAGGCAGTGGAGCATCGTAAGGAGATGCAGTCCCATGGAAGCCGGTGACCAACAATTGGTTCATACGCCATTTGTTCCCGCAGGATACTGGAGCCCATGTGCACCACTGGGTTTGTGATCCGGTTAAAGCGCCGGACATTCGCTTTTCGTCCTCTCATTTTCGTAAACAACACCCCCGCCACGAGAAGGCAATGAATAGGACTTCCCTGGCAGAGGCTGTACACGCGCGGCCGTGTGAGAGTATTTCGAGAGGGAGAGCGGACTCTTCCCACTCTCGGCCGTACCAGGGCGATCGGGGGCTCTAGTAAGCTGCATACAACCAAATATGTAATAAAATTTAACACTGAGGTAAGAAATAGTAACTTCGCCTGTAGCTCTTCCAGAGTTACTGCCGGTCTCAATCCCGGGTAAAGGAGGAGGGTTGGGCATATGGTTAGCGACTACATCCCGTAGAAAACTAACTCGCTAAAAAAACGCTTATCAGGAAAAATAATTCAAACCATTTAAACTCTGCCCTGAAAGTTAGAAGGTCTTCATTTAGAAGAATTATGACGCTTCATGGTGAAAGCCGAGTTCCTTTGGAAGCCACGAGGCCGATGCCCCTTCTAATAACCAGAGCAAAAAATTTTATAGGTACATGGAACGTCCGAAAAATGTGGGAGACCGGGAAGACCAGTCAAATAGCAACTGTCAATACCAGGGAAAGTCTTTAACAGAGTGTTGCTGAACCGGATGAAAGACGCAGTAGACGCCCGAATTCGAGATCAACAAGCTGGATTCCGTAAGGATCGGTTGTGCACAGACCAAATTGCAACACTACGGATCATCGTCGAACAATCAGTTGAGTGGAACTCGTCACTGTACATCAACTTCATTGATTATCAAAAGGCATTTGACAGTGTGGATAGAAGAACGTTATGTAAACTTCTTCGACACTACGGAGTTCCTGAGAAGATTGTCAATATTATCCGGAACTCATACAACGGACTACAATGCAAAGTCGTGCATGGAGGACAGCTGACAGATGCATTCCAAGTAAGGACCGGAGTCAGACAAGGCTGTCTACTCTCTCCCTTCCTCTTTCTTCTGGTGGTCGACTGGATTATGAAGACCTCGACATCTGAGGGAAAACACGGAATACAATGGACAGCTCAGAATCAATTAGGCGATTTGGACTTCGCAGATGACCTGGCCCTCCTATCGCATACACTAGACAAATGCAGATAAAGACAGTCAGTGTAGCAGCAGTCTCTACATCAGTAGGCCTCAGCATACACAAAGGGAAAACCAAGGTCCTCAAATTCAAAGCGGAGAACAACAATCCAATCACTCTTGATGGCGAAACTCTGGAAGATGTAGAATCCTTCACATACCTGGGAAGCATCATCAATGAACAAGGAGGTTCAGATTCAGACGTAAAGGAGAGGGTCGGCAAATCAAGAACAGTATTCCTACAGTGGAAGAACATATGGAACTCAAAACAACTTTCAACCAATATCAAAGTGAGAATCTTCAATACGAACGTCAAGGCCGTTCTACTGTACGGAGCTGAAACTTGGAGAACTACAACCATCATCAAGATGCACGTATTTATAAGTAGCTGTCTACACAAGATACTCAACATCCATTGGCCGGATACCATCAGCAATAGCCTTCTGTGGGAGAGAACAAACCAGCTTCCAGCTGAAGAGGAAATTAGGAAAAGACGATGGAAATGGATAAGACATACAATACGCAAATCGTCAAACTGCATCACGAGACAAGCCCTAACTTGGAATCCTGAAGGAAGGCGGAAAAAAGGAAGGCCAAAGAACACACTACGTCGGGAAATAAAAGCAGATATGGAAAGGATGAATAACAAGTGGAAGGAGCTGGAAAAGGATTGCCCAGGACAGGGTTGAATGGCGAATGCTTGTGAGCGGCCTATGTTCCTTCACGAGGAGCAACAGGCGTAAGTTAGAAA